CAGCCTTCCAAGTAGCTGGAACTACAGGCGTGTGCTTCCATGCCCGGCTAATTTTTTTTTATTTATTGTAGAGATGAGGGCTCGCCAAGTTGCCCGGGTGGGCCTCGAACCCACGGGCTCAGGCAATCCACTCACCTCAGCCTCCCACAGGCACGGGATTACAGGCAGAGCCACCGAGCCCGGCCTGTCTAAGATTTTTAAAGCTAGTTATGGAAAATGCTTTTATTAATCTCTTTATTGTTCTGTCATACAATGTGGAGTTTTTCCTTTTGGTTAAAAGGAGGTATTACTCTGCTACCTAAGTAGAGGAGAAAGCAGTCTCTTTTCTTCTGTTTCTCAGACCAGAATTAGTTATTTTGCTTCTTTTAAGAAAGTTATTTTTAGCTCTTAGTGGCAAATAGTAAAGAACCTTCCATTTTTAAGAACTCTGGACCAGATCCCATGATCTTCTTTTCAAACATTATTTCATATAATCCACATTTCAACCCAGGAAAATAGGTTGTTACAGATCTTCTCTTTTTATAGATAAGGAAACTGGCTTGGAGAGAGTAAGCATGTAGGCTTTAAGTGATAGAGTTCGGCGTCTGGACTTTCTAGACAAGGGATGGGGGCTGGCTGGGGCTTTACTTACAAAGAACCTAAAATAGGCAGATTGTGACCCATTATCATAGGACATTTTGAAGTATAATGTAAACCTGGTATTACGCAAACTGCAGATTTCAAGTGGTTCACACAGCTGGAAGACTTGGAGAGTTCTCATTTCAAAGGAATCCAGGGCTCATTTGAGCATTGTTTGGCACCTCTTCCCCAGAAGTAGTGACATCTAAATGCCCATTATTAAGGGATCAGTGAAATAATTTATGGTATATTAATATGAGGTGAGGTACTTTTTGGCCATTAAAAAGAATATCTATCTAGATATACATCCTTGGAAGAATTACTATGAAAGAAGCAGATTGCAGAATAATAAGTACTGTTCTTTGGTTTTAAAGAAGTATGTGCTTGTAATGCATATTTTTTCTCCAAGTTGTATTTACTTTTAAACTTCTTAATGAAATGTAGTTTTTATATAGTGAGATTTACAGATCTTAAGTATGCAGTAATATTTAAGTCTGGAATAATATACCCCCAAACTTCCAAAAATAGTTACCTCTAGGGAATGAGATTAACATGAGAGATTCTTTCATTTTTTTGTAATGATCGTGTACTTTCTTTTTTTTCTTTCTTTTTTTTTTTGGAGTCAGAATCCCACTCAGTCGCCCAGGATGGAGTGCAGTGGCACTCACAGCCACCGCAGCCTCAACCTGCTGGGCTCAAGTGATCCTTCTGCCTCAGCCTTCCAAGTAGCTGGAACCACAAGCACACATCACCATGCCTGGCGAATTTTTTTATTTGATGAGGTCTCACCAAGTTGCTCAGTCTGGTCTCGAACCCCTGGGCTTAGACTCTCTCCTTCACCTCCCAAAGTGCTAGGATTATAGGTGTGAGCCACTGTGCCCAGCCCATGTATTTTCTTATAAATAAGTATATGTATATATGTGTGTGTGTGTGTGTATGTATGCATATATACATGTATATTATATATAAATATTTTGAACAAATATTTAAAAGGTACACGTATTTATACCCAACTTGAGAAGCTGCCCAGAGATCTGAGATCCCATCTTCTGTCCTAAAATCTATCCTGAGGAGAATTTTCATTAGCAACTGAAGATTTGGGGAGCCAGAGGTGACTGAGAAATACCAAGGCCACTCTGTGTCATTTCCTCCCAGGCTGTGCATCCTGGTAGGAAATGCTGGGATGTTGAGCTGTGTATCCTGTCTTAGGCCCCCACCCTCTTTATCAGTCCCCAGCTCTTCCTCACCAGGAAAAAGAATAAGCTGCTCTGAGGTTCCTTCCAATTCTTTGGACACCAGCAACACCTCCTTATTTATTTTAATACATTCGTGAGTGAGTGTATTACGCATTCCCAGTTTTCAAGATAACAAACGCAAAAAGACAAAAATAGTCTGGATTCCTTTTTGTTGCCCCATAACATACAGCAGGGCCTCTTGCCTGTCACAGGCAGAAAACGATTATAGAATAAAGTAACAATTTAGAGTCAAATACTTGTCAGGCTTGAATTTCATGGACACCATCACCTTCCTAACCCTCTTCCTCTGTCAGTTCGTCTGTCTACCCGCCCTACTTGCAGAGTCAGTTACTTCCTCTTCACTTGTTCACCCATAAAAATAGCCTTGGTATTGAGGGGCACGTGGGATGTGTGTTGGAGAAGGCTAAAAGGAAAGTGTGTTTTTTCATCAGTAGTTTCATTATCACCAAGACCCTGGGCCTGCAGTAGATAAAGCCAGGGGAGGGAGCATGTTAGCATTCCAGGCTGAGTCCTGGGCCTGCCCTGCAGTGCCTGCACCTCCCTGCTGGTGAGGTGGGAGTGATGGGGCCCACAGCTCCCTTGGATTAAAGACTGGAGGCGTGGCCTCAGGTCTCCTCACACCAAAGACTTAGGACACCAGGGATCATCTTTGGCTCCTTCTACTGCCTCCCTTCAACCTTTTACATTTTAACTGTTTAAAGTCATGTCCTAGAACAGACGATGGAAGCCCTGCCTCCTTCTAGTGGGAATGCTTGTAATAGGGACAGTGACAGAGTGACAAAACTAAGGTTAAGTCCCATATTTTCTGAATTGTGTCCACCTGTTTTTTCTTAATCACATAATAAAAAGATTAATCCTGGTATACTGACTTATGAAAGCACCACATTGTAAGCAGAGAGAGCCTTACCTTCCTGAGTGAGAGGAAGGAAATTAATTTTTGTTGCCAACTATGTGTCCCATCCTGTTTCTCCAGCATTATCTCATTTAACCCTTACTACCAGCCTTGCGGGACTGGTGTTATCATCACCTCCATTTCACCACTGAGCTCACAGAAACTTTCAAATAGAGGCTGAGCGGGTGCTGCCGGCTCTAGTGCCTGCGCCATTTCACTCACCTAGGCTTGAGATTTGGCACTCACTGCTGATGATAATAGCCAAGAAGATAATATTTATAAAGTACCTAGCTTGGTGCCTGGCACATACTTAGGAAATATTCCTCCCAGCAGCCTCACCCACTAGGTCACCTCCAACTCTCCTGTTGGAAGCATGGCCTTCGCCAGTAATTTCTTCTCAAACACTATTTTTAACAGGACCTAGGACAGTGATCCACCCTAAAGCACGAATTATTGCGGAAGCCGGACCAATCGTGATTGGTGAAGGTAACCTGATAGAAGAGCAGGCTCTTATCATAAACGCGTGAGTAACACTCTTACAGACTGAACTGAGTACCACAGGCAATGTGTTTTGTTAATTTCAGTTGTCTATAAGAACCTTTTACAACTGACATCTGGAAGGACACTGTTTTAGAGCTAGAGAAACATTAAGGATCTTTTTCAACATAAGAAAATGAGGAAACCAAGAACCAGATGTGGAAAAAGACTTGTCCGAGGAGAGAGAGCTCGACGGCTGACTGGAACCTCCAGCTCTGGGTCTGGTTGTCTTCCCCTCACGGTTATTTTCTCATCCATTCCTTAAGCAAACACTTCCTGAGGGCCTCCAGCCTCCAAGCACTGCCCTGACTACCCTGAGGAGAGTTATTTTGATTGGATTTCTTGGTTTTGGCTGAAATGTTATTTTCATGGCCAAACATGTGAACGTAACTCTAATGTTTTGTATAGGTAACACTCAGAATTATAGTTGAAAAATTTGAGGTCCTAGAGGCAATTTTTAAACTCTAAAGATTAAAATAAATTAGAACCTGTACTTAATCATAGTGAACTAGATTGTAATACCTGTGAAATTTTCACATAAGCATTTATAAGCCTTTCTAGATAAAATGTTGCCAAGAAATTCAGGCTTATACCTAATTTATAGCAGCAATGTATGGAATTTGTAAGAAAGACCTTGGGAAAATATTTAACTGTCATAAAAAGACTGATTTGTCTCAGAGCTTACTTAGGATTTAAAATACATTTGGCACCTTCAGTGTAAGTCAATTAACAACAGCTACATTCTGCAGTAATTCAGCTGTCAGAGATAAAACACCATTTCACATTGGCTTCTTCCTCTTAGAACACAAATATTTTACCTTCCAACTATTTCAGCTGATAACAGAATAATTATTTCATGTGAATATCTGTTTATGTTTCACAATCTTGAATGATTAAGGATGAAAAATTTTCAATTTAGGCATTTTGATTCTAATTTAACAGACTAAAAGGATAGCCAGCATCTTTTTTACCTTGTCCTGGAGAAGGCTCTCTGGACTTTCAGTTTACAAAATAAACAGAGGTACTTGAACTCTATGGTATATGGAAAGAAATGAAGAAGATAAAATTCAAATTCAAACAAATAAACATAAGAAGGCTGTCCTACACAGACCCATAACTTCTTTACATGTCAGTAGCTCTTTTGAATATACAGTCAAGCTTCTCCAGCATAGAGGATAAGTGAATCACTTGAATTAAGAAATAATGTACATAGATATTTTATGCTTGATGTAGGTAACACTGAGAGCGTTATCCAAAATTCCAAAATAGAAGGAAAATTGCTTATTTTGTTACTGATTTTTTAATGATTTGTCTCTTCTGTTTACAGTCACCCAGATAATATCACTCCTGACACTGAAGAGCCTGAACCCAAACCTATGATCATTGGCACCAATAATGTGTTTGAAGTCGGCTGTTGTATCCTATACAATAATCTAACATAAGTGATTCCCAGCTGTCCTTTAGTTCCAGGGTCTCCTTCAGTAGAAATTGTCAAATTGTCATAACTTTTCCATCAAATATATTTGTAATATACATTAATTACATTTTTTAGGACCAGTCAGCTCTTTGAACAGACTTATTTACAGTATATTAAGGAAATGATTTGTTCTCTTCCATCGAATAACTCAGAAGAGTAGAGTAACACACACATACACATATGTGTAGCTCAGCCTTTTTTTTTTTGAATTGGAGTCTCACTCTGTTACCCAGACTGGAGTGCAGTGGCACGCTCCCAGCTACCGCAGCCTTGACTTGCTGGGCTCCGGTGATCCTTCCGCCTCAGCCTTCCAAGTAACTGGAACTACAGGCACGTGCTACCACATCTGGCTAATTTTTTTGATTTATTGTAGAGATGAGGTCTTACCAAGTTGCCCAGGTGAGCCTCAAACCCACGGACTCAGGCAGTCCACTCGCCTCATCCTCCCAAAGTGCTGGGATTACAGGCTGAGCCACCGAGCCCTACCCAACTCAGCCTTTTGAAAATAAGCTCTTGTTCCTTTTGCTGGTACCACAGCTTATTGACAGATAGCAGTGACTGAGTGGCAGTAGACACAGTGTCATCTTGGCTTCTGTTTTGATTAAGAGCCACACATTTGTCAGTTTGATTCCTATATAGTTTTAGGGTGGACAATATGTTATCTGATCCAAGAAACTTGGGCAGGTGTGAAAATATTTTATTTCATTCTTTGTGTTTCCCACCCCCGCCCCCAAGAGTGTCACCAGTTCTTTTGCTTGTTTTTGTACTATAAAAAGATAGCAAAATCTGCCTATAGTCCCAGTACTTTGGGAGGCTAAGGGAAGAGGATTGTTTGAGGCCAGGAGTTCAAGATCAGCCTGGACAACATAGCAAGACTCCGCCTTTATAAAATTAAAAAAAAATTAACCAGGAGACTAAGGCAGCAGGATCACTTGAGTCCAGGAGTTCTGGGTTACAGTGAGCTGTGATCATGAGCTATGCCATCCAGACTGCATTTCAGATCAAGACCCTGTCTCCAAAAAAAAGATAGTAAAATATTTTTATGATGTCATCAAAACATATAACTTATAATAGAACATACTTGGAGGGGCCAGGTACAGTGGCTTATGCTGGTAAACCCAGCACTTGTGGGAGGCTGAAACAGGAGGTCACTTGACCAGAAGTTCGAGATCAGTTTGGGTAACATAGTGAGACCCTATCTCTACAAAAAAATTAAAAAATTAGCCGGACATGGTGGTGCACACATGTAGGTCCAGCTACTCAGGAGGTTGAAGTGGGAGAATTGTTTGAGCCCAGGAGTTCAAGGCTGCAGTGAGCTGTGCTCACACCACTGTACTCCAGCCTCGGCCACAGAATGAGACCCTATCTCAAAAAATAAAAGAAAATATTTGGAGAAAGAAATCTAAATGTTCAACAAAATATTTAAGTAAATTGAGCTACAAGCATAAAACAAACCACTGAGACTATTTAGCAGTTATTAAAAATTATGTTTTAGCCAGGCACGGTGGTTCATGCCTGTAATCCCAGCACTTTGGGAGGCTGAGGTAAGAGGATTGCCTGAGCCCACGGGTTTGAGACCAGCCTGGGCAACTTGGCAAGCCCTCATCTCTACAATAAATCAAAAAATTAGCCAGGCGTGGTAGCATGTGCCTGTAGTTCCAGCTATTTGGAAGTCTGAGGCAGAAGGATCACCTGAGCCCAGCAAGTCGAGGCTGCAGTGGCCGTGAGCATGCCACTGCACTTCAACCTGGGCGACAGAATGAGATTCCAACTAAAAAAAAAAAATTTGTTTTTAACGCATATTCTCACTCATAAGGAGGGCCTAAATATTAGGCACACAAGCACAAAGGTGGGAGCAATATACACTGGGCACTACTAGTGGGGGAAAGAAGGATGGGGAGGAGATAAGGGGCACATAACCACTCATTGGGTACCATATCCACTACTGGAAGAGAGGGCTTGCTATAAGCCCAAACCTCACCTGCATACAATTTGCTTATGTAGCAAATCCTCACATCCACCCCACAACTCTAAAATAAATATAATTTAAAGTTATGTTTTTAAAAATTTTACTTAAGCTATAAAAGTTTGATTCCCATTTATATAAAGGGAATTATATATTTATATCAAGATATATCAAACTGTTAACAGTGTTTAAGTGATTGAGTGATGAGTAATTTTAGTTTTCCTAAAGCAATTATGAAAATATGTCACTCATAAAATCAGAGTATAAGGTACTCATTTCTATGAAAAACATATATACCTAGAGTTATTTATATTTAAATATTAAAGATTTACTACACATTTCCCTGAGCAAAGAATTCTGGCAGGGGCGAGCCTGCATAGCCCTTCTCACACCTCTGTTCTCTGCCCCAGAGCAATATAAGGACACATTGTCTTAGTAGAGAATAAAGAGGAGCATACTTATAGTATTTTCTTAACTCTGGCTTACAGATTCCCAAGCCATGAAAATGGGAGATAATAATGTCATTGAATCAAAAGGTAAGCTATGCTCAGAGTTTAATGTTAAAGTGATTGCCTCTTTCCTCTTTTATGGTATCCTGGGAAACAACTTAAGTATAAACTATGACAAGATGATATGCTTGGAAGTGGGTTAAATTAGTTAGCAGACTAGGTATTTGCTTCTAAGGAACTTAATCTGGTTATGTGGTTAAATACATTAAATTTAAAAGTTAGCTGTGTACATTTAAGTCAAGATTGAATTAAACCATAAAGTGGAAATGAAAGATTTGAAAAATATTACTACTAAACACTAGTGTCTCTGATGTTTTGATTGATTCGTGTTTATTGTGGAATTAAAGGGGGGAAAAATCACAGTTTCTCTAGCAGTTTGCTTTCTTTAGTTTCAGGACTACTTTACCCTAGCCAATCAAAATCAAATGCCATTTACTTATAAATGGGACTAGGCTGAAGATCATGTAAAGTCACCATCACTACTAAGGCAGAAACTCCAAGAGCTTGTCCTACTAAGGTCCAGAAAGAACCTGAATTATAACACTTCTTTAGAATAGTGTTTTATCTTTCTTGGTCTCGATTGTCATGAAAGAAAATGCTTCTTTTTTAAAAATAATAAAATTATACTTTTTGTTAGTCTTCTCAATGGTTTTTATTTTCATTTGGATTACCAATTACTGTCATCATCATCATTGGCATTTTCTACTTATATATTAAGCTTCCTGTGTGTCAAACCTGTACTCAGGACTTTACATTTATTAACTCATTTATTCCTTAAAGTAAACTGTGATATAGGAGGTCTCTCCATTTTGTAGATAAATTTGAGCTTGGAGACTTTACAGTGACCTGCTCAAGGTCACACAAATAGCAGCAGGACTCTGTTTTGAATCCATCTAACACTGGTGTGTAGTGCCTGCCTCTGTGTTATCTATACAAACTCTGAACTGAAGTATTTTCTTCAATTTTTTTCTTAAGACCAGTTCACATCTTTCTATCTAAATCATCTTACAAAAAATATGTTGCAGATATTTGATGTCTTGATTTGCAAGTCTGTTTTTTCTGCAGCATATGTAGGCAGAAATGTAATACTGACAAGTGGCTGCATCATTGGGGCTTGTTGCAACCTCAATACTTTTGAAGTCATCCCTGAGAACACAGTGATATATGGTGCAGACTGCCTTCGCCGGGTGCAGACTGAGCGACCACAGGTACCGCTCGCTAAAGGAGTTCTGTCTAGGGCTGTTAATTTTCCCACAGCACCATGCAATTGTCTTAATGAGGCAGCAGAATGACTATGTAAAAAGAAGGTGATTAAAATAAAACATCAGAGAGCCGGGCTCGGTGGCTCAGCCTGTAATCCCGTGCCTTTGGGAGGCTGAGGTGAGTGGATTGCCTGAGCCCGCGGGTTCGAGACCCGCCTGGGCAGCGAGACCTCATCTCTACAATAAATCAAAAAATCAGCTGGGCGTGGTAGCGCATGCCTGAAATTCCGGCTACTCAGAAGGCTGAGGCGGAAGGATCGCCGGAGCCCAGCAGGTCGAGGCTGCGGTGGCCGGGAGCGGCCACTGCACTCCAGTCTGGGCGACAGAGTGAGACTCCAACTCAAAAAAAAAAAAAAAAAAAATCAGAGAAACATTCCTGAAGCTGAGATGTATTTATTTGCAGGTCAGTTATTCAATCTTTAGGTTAATATCAAATACATACAAGGGTAACAATAACAGGTTGATTATGAGAAAAGAAAATCCAGAGATGTTACTCCTGGTTTTATGTGTTTCCACAGAAGATACAGCACCAAATCTTACAACCCATATTGACTCACTCCTAAAATACTGATCTTCAAGGGTAAAGAATGTTGCTACCAAAGTTCTGCTGGCCCTCTAACTTGGGCCTATGAGCTTATTAACATAGCTTGATAATAAACATAGCATATGAATAAGCAAGTGTATTTGGATATTGTCCTGGCTCATGAGAAATTATCCTCTTCTAATAACCAAGATCAAGAATAATGAAGGCCAGGCACAGTGGCTCATGCCTGTAATCCTATCACTTTGGGAGGCCAAGGCAAGAGACTTGTCTGAGCCCAGGGGTTTGAGACCAGCCTGGGCAACTTGGTGAGACCTTGTCTCTATAATAAATCAAAAAATTATCTGAGCGTGGTAGCGTGCACCTGTAGTTCCAGCTACTTGGAAGACTGAGGCAGAAGGATCACCTGAGCCCAGCAGGTTGAGGCTGCGGTGGCCATTAGTATGCCACTGCACTCCAGCCTGGCTGACAGAGTGAGACTCCAACTCAAAAAAAGAATAATGAAGAGTACATATTTGAAGTTTAATGTTAGAATAGGAATTGAAAAGGGGCATTTGTTTTCCTCTGGACATAAGACATTCAGATTGACGTTTTAAGCCTCATTGCTTGGCACATTAAGGACATATTTCTTTAGTTACCCAGACTCCTTTCCCTCCCCCAAAGAAAATATTCTCAAGTCATTTATCACTTTGCCTCTGATTCTTAGCCATTTTTTAATCAGAAATTAAAACTCCAATTCTTTTTGGGTTACTCTATTTTTGTAGTGTTTGGCTTTATTATTATTATTGCAAGCAAGTTTTACTTCTGTATACTAAAAAGGAAGTAAGGATGAATGCGGTAATTTTTACTATCTTTCTGCATAACAGGATAAATGACTAAAGAAGAAATGAAGCTGGAGTTGGGGAAGAGAGATTAGAATTAAGTGGGCAAGGATATCTGAAGTTTAATATTTAATGGTACACAATACTACCTTCCAAATTTCACTGGTCAAAAGGATCATGTAGAGGTCTTTATGGAAAATAAAGATTCCCCAGACTTATTGAATCACAGTGTTTAGGAGGGGCCTAAAGTCCCTATTCTTCACCGGTACCCCAAGTGAGTTTACAATCAGGAAGGTTTGGGCAGTGCTAGTATATGAAGAATGGAGATCAGATGAGTGTATCTCAGCTGTGTGGCTCTGTGGGTCATGTGAAAAAGGATATGCTCTGGGCACTTTACTTATGTGGTCTTCTATAATTGGAACTTTTAAGCTTTTTGGAAGCCAGGATGAATCTAGAAAAGCAAGTTTGAAAATTGATTTCTGTATATTTCTATATGTAAAATATTTTGCCTTTTTCATATTACCAAACTTAATAAATGTTCATTGTAAATGTAAAAAAACAAACAGTTAAACAAAAAATAAGTCAATAAAAATTACCCATAATTCCACCACCAGTAATAACCATTTCTGCCTAGTACTCTTTTGACTTTGCCTTCTGCCAGTCTTAAATATCTTATCTTTTTAGCCCCAGACACTACAGCTGGATTTCTTGATGAAAATCTTGCCAAATTACCACCACCTAAAGAAGACTATGAAAGGAAACTCAACTCCAGTTAAGAACTAAGAACAATGTATGACATCAAGATAACATTTTGTCTTTGACTGTCTTTTTTAAAGGCCACCGCGCTTGTGTACGTGCTCTTAGCAGCTCACAGAGAATACATGTTGACTCTATTTGGTAAAATTGAGGTAGAGAGGAAATAAATGGATGCTCATTGTAACTGTCCTTTATAATTTATATAAAATGTATTATTTTCTTAGGTGCTTCTTTTCTTGATGGATTTAGTTTTTCTTTTGTTATATAAACTGTTAGCCACAAATTTTAGTTATGTAAAAGACTATCCATGCTAAGAAAGGGCATGTTGTTATGTATTTATATTCTAGCATATACTAAACTAAATAAAAATGCTGATGACAGGACTTCTAGTGAGCGTACTTTAATCAGTTTTCTACTTACATTAATCTTCCCAAAGTGTCTTCATTTTTATCATCTACTGGCTGTATTAAAGCTACTATGTCTACCTTTTCACTTGTGGATTTGTAGCTGTTTAAAATTTTAGGAGCTATCAAATTAATTTAGACTTCACTTTGCTTTTTTAAAAAAAGTATTTTTCTTCCTAGTAAAAGTAATCAGGAAAGATGTTTTAAGTAGAATTACAAATGCAAAAAGAACGGCATCTAACAGACCAGTAAATGATGATTTAATTTTGTGATATTCCTGGATTTCTGAGGACAATGAAATGAAAAAAACTTGTTATAATATTTCTGTTTATCTAATTATGTAATCGGTAAAATATTGATTTTATTGGCATTCCACATTTTTAAAATAATTGCATACATTTAATGGAACATCTCAACTTTTGAATTTGTTGATATTAACACTGAGATACTAAGTAATAAGATTAATACTAGCTGGGCGTCGTGGCTCATGCATGTATTCCCAGCACTTTGGGAAGCAGAGGTGAGAGGATTACCTGAGCCCAGGTATTTGAGACCAACCTGAGCAACTTTACAAGACCTCGTCTCTACAATAAATAAAAAAATTAGCCAGGCGTGGTAGCACGCACCTGTAATTCCAGCTACTTGGAAGGCTGAGGTGGAAGGGTTGCCTGAGCCCAGCTGGTCGAGGCTGCAGTGGCTGTGAACGTGCCTCTGCACTCCAGCCTGGGCGACAGGGTGAGACTCTAACACAAAAAAAATAAGTAAAAAGATTAATACTAAAATCTGGCTGGACATGGTGGCTTATACCTGTAATCCCAGTACTTTGGGAGGTGGAGGTGAGAGGATAGCCTGAGCCCAAGGGTTCGAGGCCAGCCTGGGCAACTTGGAAGAACTTGTCTCTGCAATAAATTTAAAAATTAGCCAGGTATGGTGGCACATATCTATAGTTCCAGCTACTTGGAAGGCTGAGGGGGAAGGATCTCCTGAGCCCAGCAGTTCAAGGCTGCAGTGTTCTGAGCGTGCCACTGTACTCCAGCCTGGGTGACACAATGAGACTCAGCATCAAATAAGTAAATAAATAAAACACTAAGATATTTTCTCAAACCTTAATTTATAATTATGAATAGATAAAACTATATTTTTCAATTTCTGAAACTGTAGCTGGGTGCCATAGCACACACCTATAGTTTTGGCTACTTGGAAGGATGGCAGGAGCCCAGCAGGTCAATGCTGGGGTAGTCATGAGCTTGCCACTGCACTCCAGCCTGGGTGACAGAGTGAGACTCTAACTCAAAAAAAAAAAAAAAAAAAAAAAAAAAGTTTCTAAAACTGACCATACAAATTAGCCTAGTTGCTAGTTGATCCAAAGTGGAATGACTTGATTTTGGTAAGAAAACTCATGACTCAAGTCGGAAAACGACTGTAGAGCAGCAGTTCCCAACCTTTTTGGCATCAGGGACTGGTTTCATGGAAGATAGTTTTTCCGTGAACCAGGGGCGGGGGAGGGTGGTTTCGGGATGATTCAAGCATATAACATTTACTGTGCACTCTATTTCTATTATTACATTGTACATAATTAAATAATTATGCAACTCATCATAAAAAAGAAGTATGGATGGAAATGGTAAGATAATGGGCAGGTCATGTACAGTCTAAAATAAGTGTCAAATTCTGACTTAAAGCCTGCCACCAGATGCAGCTATACAATCGAAGCACGTCAACTCACTTGCCACTCATTGATAGGATTTTTATGAGTCTGCAAACAATGGATTCATTATGGTCTCTGTGCAGTCAAGCCTCACTGCTCATATTAATCTGTATTTGTGCAAGCATCACCCCCTCAGCTCCACCTCAGAGCATCAGGCATTCGATTCTCATAAGGAGCATACAACCTAAATCCCTCACATGTGCAGTTCACAGTAGTGTTCGCACTTCTCTGAGAATCTAATGCCCCTGCTGATCTGACAGGAGGTGGAGCTCAGGTGGTAATGCCAACGATGGGGAGCGGCTATAAATACAGATAAAACTTAGCTTGCCCACTGCTTGTCTCCCGCTGTGTGTCCTGGTTCCTAGTGGGCCATGGTCCAATACCGGTCTGTGGCCCAGGGTCTAGGGACGCCTGCTGAACACAGAGCTTTTGAAAAAAGAATATTGCATAAATGCCCAATATTTGTTAACTACTTTTTTATTTTCCAACCCTTGATGATCAATTCAGAATTCTCTTGATCATGGAAATTTCTAGATAAAAGATCAAAATTACAAAACAGCTTTTGAAATTCTACATTGGTCCTAAAATGTTCTCTCCAGACAAGTGCTGATATGCTAAGTAAGTGATCTTTCCAAACTATGCTGGTAGTATATGAGGGCAACAGTGAGATGTCTCCCAAGGACTTGATAATGAGGAACCCCCAGGGTTAAACTTACTAAGTCAACATATAGTGAGGAGAGTCTTGGTGATTTGAAGGGACACGGTAGGCTATTAAATGTTATTAACTCATTTGAAGAGAGAAAATATAAATGGAAATAGGGTGTGGAGAAACAAAACGTGACAGTGTGTATACAGTGTCTTCCATCAAGGGGAAGTTCTAATCCAGGAGATGCAAGTAATTCAGTGACCAGAAGTGTTCTCTACTTCACATAGTACTAGTATACCAAGACCCACTGTGGCTTGGGAAGAACATGCCTCAAGACTTGTTGCATTTGGGGCACTGATTGCAAGCTTAACCGAACCAATCACCTTCTGATCGCTAATATGATCTTCAAGCTATTATTTTTCAGGAAGAGGAGGAAGTCTGAGTGAGGGCACCCAAATTCCATTCTGCGCATAGTAAAATTTAGAGAAGCTCTTTGGCTTATCCAAATCAGTCTCATGTGAATTGAGTTCATGTAATTCTGCCCCCAAGTTTGTCAGTTTAGCCTATATGTTTCTGAATATTCTGATAAAAAAATAGGTTCTGGCTGGGCACAGTGGCACAAACCTGTAATTCCAGCACTTTGTAAGGCAAGGCGAGAAGATTGCCTAAACTCAGGTTCGAGACCAGCCTGGGCAACTTGGTGAGACCTCGCCTCTACAATAAATCAAAAAATAAACCGGGTGTGGTACCACACTCCTGTAATTCCAGCTACTTGGAAGACTTAGGCAGAAGGATTGCCTGAACCCAGCAGGTTGAGGCTGCAGTGGCTGTGAGTGTGCTACTGCACTCCAACCTGGGTGACAGAGTGAGACTCCAACTCAAAAAAAAAAAAAGCACACGTTAAAAAAAAAAGGATTTGGAGTCCAGCAGGTCAACGCTGGGGTGGCTGTGAACATGCCACTGCACTTCAGCCAGGGTGATGGACTGAGACTCCAACTCAAAAAAGCAAAACAAAAAAATAGTTTCTGACCCTTCAGGACAGAAAACCGAAGTCCAAACAGATTTTTGCAAACTATTCTTTGGGACTTCTGCATAGCCAGGCACCAATCTTCTCGTGGTACCCTGTCTCACTGAGACTGCAGTCAAACTTCTTCACAAATATTCTAGATAAACAAGCTAATGATAGGACAAACCTTGACATGCTTATGACATGAGATAGCAAGTGGGCAGGGAAAAGCAAAACCATTTTATCACAGCATTTTGTTGCAATTGGGCATTAGCTTTTGGGTCTAGATGATAGATTTTCACCAATTGAAAAGTGTCAGGCCGGGCTCGGTGGCTCAGCCTATAATCCTGTGCCTTTGGGAGGCTGAGGTGAGTGGACTGCCTGAGCCTGCGGGTTCGAGACCCGCCTGGGCAACTTGGGAGACTTCATCTCTACAATAAATCAAAAATTAGCCGAGCGTGGTACTTGGAAGGCTGAGGCGGAAGGATCACCGGAGCCCAGCAGGTTGAGGCTGCGGTGACCGGAAGCGGCTACTGCACTCCAGTCTGGGCAACAGAGTGGGACTCCAACTCAAAAAAAAAGAAAAAGAGAAAGAAAAAAAGAAAAGTGTCAGATATAGAAAGGTGTTTAAACTTCACTTCATCCATAAACAGTCATAGTCATCTATGCTGTGTAGCAAATTACCCTAACACATAGCAGCTTAAAACAAACATTTTAGTACCTCACACGGTTTCCAAGATGAAGAATCTGAGTGGCTCAGCTGATACTGAGGGGCTGCAGGATCTGTTTCCCACACTCAATGTGGCCATTGGCCAGAGGCTTCATTCAGTTCCTCATTACATGAGCATCTCCACAGCAAGGCTACTGACTTCCTCCAGAATGAGTGATCCTAGAGAGAGGGGACAGAGGCCACAATGCCTTTTGTGCCCTAGTCACTAAATCTATTTCACATTCAAGGGAAGGGGAACTAGGCTCTACCTCTTGAAGGCAAAAGCATCAAAGAATTCATATTTATATTTTTTAACCACCAGCATGTACACATCTGTTTACAGCCTTGTTTTTCCCAGATGTTGTAAGAATCCCTCAGGGGTCTCCACATTGGGGGAAAATGACTTTGAAAAGACTGCTGTTGATTAACTGGCACAGCACATGATATCATCAAAGATCATCTTATAATTGTGAAGCCCTATTGTGTGGTGCTTTCTGACACCAAAAGTGTGGGTTTTTCCAGCACCAACTAAGTGTCCAACAATTCAGTTCTGACAGTTCTGACACTCCGGAATTAGCCCAGATCCCAAGCTAAGGGACTCCGTCCCACAAGACTTGCCCCTCCATTTGCCAGCAGCAAGTGACACCCAGTCAACCCACACTTCTGCCCAGCCAGCTACAAAGTGGGTGTTCCCATGATCCCTCAAGTTTAACAGCTCTCTAGAATGGCCCACAGAGCTCAGGAAAGTAGTATATTGACTATTACAGATTGATTACAAAGGATGCCATTCAGAATAGCAGCTGAATGGAAGAAATGTACAGAGCAAGGTATGGAACGGCGATGACAGCGCTTCCGATCCTTCACTGAGACATCTCATGTGACATCTCAGCATGTCACCAGACTGGAAGCT